AACAATATGTGTGTGCGTAAATACTTGTGTTAGCGCCAATATTGTTACTTAAAATTGAAATTTCTAGAAAACCTCCACACGCCTATAAATATAACCAATGTGACGCGCCAAAAGGAGAGTATCTATTATTAGTTCGCTGCAGTCAGTGTGCTATAAACTTTAGAAACTATAACTGTGATTATTATAACGCTTATCAATCGAAAACTTCAGATATTTGACCAGGAACCCTTACAAAGTTCGAACATTACAAATAATTTAACTTCAGTGGATTCTCACCAGACATTAGTATTTTCAGGAAAACATTATATAAATTCATCGTGAGAAAACTCGACGTGTGTGGCTGATAAATAACGAAGGACAAAGCTAGCTAGTTTCCCGTTAAGTGAAATATACCCACTTCACCTCGTAATCATCTCGCTCATCGTGAACCCTCGATAAGATATCGAAGATGTTCCAGATTAAAAGGAAGACTTGATATTGCTTGTAAGTTTGTGAAACTTTTGTTTATAAAAACTATTTGTAAAACTGTTATTGTAAATTGTATTGTTGTGTATATATTAAAACGTATTTGTGTTAAAAAAGAAACTGTGTGTGTCAATTTTGTTGGCAAATATCATAAACTGACTATATATCGGCTTTTACTTAACTACTGAATCCAAACTATAAGTTAACTACTATATTTAAATTTATCAGTTAACTCAATTTCAGGCTATTTGAAATTCTAACACTTAAAAATAGTCACTTAATATGCCGTTATCTATGCGTTGCATAATAGCTAACTGGTAGTCAATGCTTTCCCATGTACGATTACGCTGCCTAAGGACACGTAAGTTAAGCCGTGGTGCATTAGAAATTGTCTGAAGTATCAAAACTAATACACATAGATAGTATCTATCTCACTCAATCTCATTTGTTTATGACGTTTACATAATAATATAGTTAGCATGTGTTGAAAAAAATATAAAGAAGGTGAAGAAGTTACGTTTATACGAGTACAAAAGTACGACGTTTAGCGTGCCTTCCTGGCCTTAGGATCAAATTGCAAAACTAAACCTATTGTAAATAAAAACTCTAAAAGCAATTCCTTCAGTAAAATAAAGAAACACATAAGGAAACACCTTATATTAGTTTATTGCCTTTTCTTGGCTTAAGTATAACAGAATACCACTAAGAAATGACAACAAAATGTCAAACTCGCTCGTTAAACTCACTACCACATTTTCATGATTTTTTTCTTGTGTACTTTAATAGCAAGAAAGAAGAACAGCAAATAGCTTGCGAGAAAGAAAATAATCTCGGGTTTCAGATTATATGTGCAAGACTTTGTGAGCTGTTTTTCCTGTTTACTTTAGGTGATTGGCGAAAATAGCATGAAATAATTTCTAAATGTTTATTTATGGGATTTTTCAATATAAAATTATATTTATT